ATTCTAACTCTCTTGCTCCTTGTGTCTGCCCCCACACCCTGCAGTGCCCCCAGTTCCCATTCACTGTGGCGACCATGCCTACCTCCTCCAGCTACCTGACGTTTCTCCTAAGTGGCAATTGGGCGAGAAGTAGCATCCGCTGGGTGGTAGGCTCTGAGCTGCTTGTGTGCGCATGTTGGCTGTCTAGGGGACATGTTTTGGGAGACCAGGTCAACAGAACAAGTAACAGCTGAATTCACACTGCAGACTTTCTTGGGATTCTTCTACCTGATTCCTACTACTCACAAAACCTCACATAAAATTTATACCTTTGAAAGATTGCCCTATCTTCTCTCTGAAACTGTCCATGGGTATGTAAGTTACTGACAGACAGACATAGAGGACAGAGCTAATCATTTATTATTCTCTTCAGTGTGCAGAGAACAACTCCATACTGAGTCCTGCTTGTAAGGCAGTTTTCAGTGCAGTGTGGAAGGCCTAAAAAGCCAGGCTTCATGCTGCAGATTATCTACAGGGCTGTGCAAGGAGAGGTCAGGAAAGAAGTGGTGGCAGGCAGCTGGAGGTGTATAACACGCATGGTCACCACTGTGGGAAGATGCAGGAGTTGCTATTCAGAAGTCTGGTCCTAGAAATTCATGTCCTTGTGGCTAGCTTGTTATGCACATGATTTGGTCTTCTTGCTACTTACCATCTAGTTGTCCCAGCACAGTAGATCAGGAATAAATTCAGTGGTAGTGTACCAGTGTGAAAGTGAGTGACACAATTTCCAGGTTTTTAGGCAGGACAAGGAGTGAAACACTGGTTTAGCTTCACATGGAAGTAGTGCAGGTCTTTGCAAACTATTGTCTGTAATTTGTCCGGCTTACTGTAAGACAGTCATGTCCCTTGGCATGGAAGTCACTGCCTTTCAGATAACGGTATGGTAAGTTCTTGAAAGATGCTGATGGGATTGCTCAACCTTTTTCAGAGAATGGTACCTCCTTTTCAACATGAGGGTGCTCAGTGTCCCCTACCTGTGTGGGGAACTTGTGTTCTTTGGAAAAGGCAGCTGTCTGCAAGAACATTAAATCTGATGCAAGACAATCCTGCTTCCATAAATTAAAGAATTAAACACATGAGGCCTGATTTCATCCTCTCTGCACCACAGCTCTACTGAATCCAGGGAAACAGAGGAGTTTTGATCCCAGATTTTTGGTGTTATTTTCCAGCCTTTTAAGGCTTTTTCTACTTTAAGTGGAAGACAAAGTCAAAAGGAGAAAGAGCATCAATATCAGGGAAGTTTATAGTCCAGAGACGGAAAGAAAGTCTGGAAGATAGGCAGTTAGTTGAAATAACTTTATGTATGGAAGCAGGCCCAGAACTTGTCTCCTTCTGTAATGTGGATGGATGTTCTATCAAAGCTTAGTTTCACAAATATATACTGCAAATGTAAGTCCTTCACATTTCTGGCAGCTTCTTATGAAGTTGCATGGAGATTAGTACCATCACAAATCTGCACGACTCAGCAACACTGTTTCAAAACATTGCTGCTCAAGAGGGATTACTGGCAGCAAACTTTGCAAGGAGTAACTCCAGTTCATAAACACTCATGCCCTTCTCCTTTGCTGGGCAATCTGTGTCCCGCCTGGGATAGGAAAGTTCTGAAGCGTAGCTATAAGCTTCAAAACATCAGCTTTAACCCCACCTGCCTTCTGAACTTTTTCTGTTCTTTTCTATCCTCTGAGGGCTTCCCTTTTCTGTTCTGTATCTTAGCCACTTCATTAGAGAAAGAAGCCTTTCATAATTGCTGAAGAAGCTAACGTGACCTATTTTGTCTGGCGGCAGGCTGAGTCAGGTGAATTGCTCTGACCTCCTCCAGCTCATCTTTGCTTGGAGGTATGGCAGAAAAGATGTTAAGAGTTTTACCTTATTATGCCTTAGAGTCTAGATGCCCTGATTCTCATAGACAGACGTCTGCTCTATTCCTGTTATCCTCTCTCTTTGATCCTTACTGCAGTCATGCCTGGTTTCGCTGTATTGTGTTTTAAGCAGCATGGGAGATCTGGATGTTACTGTTTGCAGCTCAATTAATCCATATAAGTTGTGCAACTGGTGGTTATGGGGATGGTGAAGCAAAACAGGCAGCTTTTCAGGAAATCGTGTCAAGCCTGCTCCCAAAGGCAGACTGAAAAAAATTCACTTCTCTGCAGGGACTCTGAGTTTACACTTGCAACATGGAGCCTATTTCTTCTCTGTGTTTGCATTTTTCATAGGCAGCAACATTTGAGAGTAATGAATCTATGGCTTTAAATTCCTTATTGATGAGAAGAAAGGCAAAGACAGATACATGTTTTGAAGACTGGGGGAAAGAG